AAGACTGTACTTGCAACATGGATGCTGTGTTGGTGCAACACTAGACACTGATGTGTGTAGTGTGGATGATGTTCCCCGCCTCACAACAGAAAGGTTATTTTCATTGTCTGGCCCGGGGGTTGCGTCGGGGTGTTCCATCGAAGGAACAGTGGGTCGGTTTGTCAAGCGCGCCCTCCCATTGTGTGGACAGGCGGGCGCGTTATGGGTGCCGACTGTTTGGGGTCGTAAAGCTTGATTAAGGAGTCGGAGTGTAGTATCGGCGGCTAGGCCAGGATGGGAAGGGGGGGGAGGGGGCGCAGTCCGGAGAAAGAGCAGCTAACGAATCCCCCCGAGCAGGCCCTTGTCCTCGTCTGGGTCGGCGAGAATGAGCGGGCAGGACTCGCGGTGCACGATCCTGCCATTGTGGCCGCACAAAGGACACGTGATAAACGCAGCGCATCCTTGTTTCTCACGTCCGACGCGCAATTCAAAGGAAGACGGAGATACAGGACACCCCTTGTACGGCCAACCACTTCCATCGCGAGTGCGGTCAAATTATTGTCATGGAATTTCCTCGGGAAATATTTTATAACTGCTGTTCAAGATAAAGTGAGCACTTTTAAAATCAACCTTAGAAAAAAGTCACTGCCCCTACCTGCATATGTTTTAACGGGCGCACTGAGTGACGTGAGTCCAGTAAAGTTGGTAACGACAGAGGGGAAAGTAGTTCCATATATTAACGTCAAACAAAAAATGTTAGGTGACCAATTGTGATAACTTAAATTATTTCTCTCGCTTTCTGTATTTTTTAATGATTTGAAGTGTAAGAATTAGCGGATTTATACAATATTTACTTTCCCTATAATTTCTCTGTTTCACTTGATTGACGCATGGATAAAGTGACGAGGTCTATGGCAATGTTAATTTTACACAAGGCGGAAGAACACACAACGTGTATATAAGTAGATCTTAAGCAGGGCATTCAAACGTGCTCATTTTGCCATGAACAGCCTACAACTAGAGGCACCGGGGGGCCATGGTGGCTGAGCGGTTAGCCTGCTCGCCCCCCACCAACACGAACCGGGCTCAATCCCTGGCCGGGTCACCGGATTTTCGCTTGTGAGAATCGTGACGGACGATGCCGCTGGTCGGCGGGCCTTCTCGGGGATTTCCTATTTTTTCCCGTTCCCTCATTCCGTGGTGTTGCTTCATACTCACCTCAATCACCTCCACCGGCTCTCAATACCTCGCTGTTAAGAGCCGCCCAAATATCTCCACTCACTTACAACTAGGAGCACCTGTTTTCAGCGAAAATATTTCATTACAAGTGATATTCCGAAACTCTTTATTTCAAAACCACTGTAGTGACTGAACCATTTGAATTTTTACCCGGCTTTCCTGTCTATCCATGGATCACAGCCATTCGGTATTGGAGAAACAATATTATAATTGACTCACAGGCACTCTTCCCACAAAAACAAGCGGCCAGTTGCTAAAGCAAGATTGTAAGTGTGCACATAGGATATTTAAGTCGATCCCCCCCCCCCCCCCCACTGGGAAAGCTTTAATAAAAAACAGGTAGACCTATCTTTACCATATTATTTTTTATTCTGCTACAGAGTATTTAACCCTTTCAGGGTCGATTTACTATAATTTATGTTTTTAGGTGTTGCGAACATAAAGTTTTTTGACGCGTGAAGTTCTCTAATCCATTCAGACTCAGTGTACACAATTGTGTACATTGCACACGTGTAGATAATTTCTGATATTAATTACACACTACGAAGCTCAATGACTAATGATTTTAGCTGTGGGTAAATTATTCGCAAACCGTCTCACTAATCTGAGTCATAATTGGTTCATATAACTGTAGCCGAACATAAAGCCTACCACACATTGGCTGTGACAACAAAACAAGCGTTTTGTGTTGACTTAAGTAAAGCAAGGGTTGGATCTCACCTCTAAAAGACGGACACGAGGCCAATATACAACTCACTGACTGTGACAGCAAAACAAGTGTTATGTCGGCTTGACGTACAGCACCTATCATAATATTTCTTGTTTGCAACACCTGAAACCATGCATTAGCACGACTTAGTCTTCCTGTGGTTAATGATCACGTGTCTTCGTCAGGTGACTGTGATTTTTGACATGGCCAAACAGAATTTAATTGACAGACGTCTATGTCACGTAGCAGTTAAAATCGCACGATGGCGAATGTGTATGAGTTATTGTGTTTTGAAATATAACTAACGTGGAACTCGTTTCCCGAAAACTGGCTGTCAACATTTATTATAGTAATTATTTGTTTAAATGTTATGCCTCTTATCAGCGAAAAGAATTAATTTTTGTTTAGGCATTACATCTCGTGGAATCTAGTCAGTAGAGATGGAATTATTTGTTTAAAGACAAGGAGTTGGAAAGGAAACAGACATGGCCAGAATCGAGGAACATAAGCACTGTAATGTTTTTACAAGACCGGTCTGTGGCGAGGAGGGGGGACGATGTTTCAAAATGTCTGTGACAGTACTGACGTAAATTGTAATATTATTGGGGCCGCAGTGTTGTAGTGGACAGACTACTCTTCTCCCACCTAGGACAACCAGCTTGATTCCCGACTGGGCCTCTCCTGGATGTTCGCATCGTGCCGTACTCCACACCTCCATTTCATCTTATCTCACTTTCTCTTTTACTCTTTCTTTCTTACTGAGTGTCGTAGGTTTGTGCGTGCGTTTATGCGCCTGTGTAATATTTATTTTCAGGTAAGCCAATGTTTTAAAAACACGAGATACAAATATTAAAGATAGTAAAGTATTGCAATTTCGCTTGCGTAGGTAAATGTAGTTTATAAGTGCGAATTTAAATTTAACGTTCTAAATTAAATAAAAAAATATTAACAAATATAATTCCAGTAATGATTGTACAGATGTAGTTCACAGGATGGTAATGCCAATAGTCAACTCAGGACGAAATATTACTACTGATAATTGATTGAGTGATGTAACCCTTCTGTTTGAACTGGCAGGAAAAAAACTATCCATTACGTGTAAAATGCATACGAAGGGTACAGTGGTAGCAAGGCCATGACCTGGTGAGTAGTCCACACGTACTGCACCAGGCTTAAACACGTGCTGGTGGTGTGATGCACGATGTTACACTTCGTGTCGGACCATGCGGCTGGTCGGCGGGTTTTCTCGGGGATCTCTCGTTTGCCCCGCCTTTCATTCCGGGCACTGCTCCATACTCAACTCGATCATCCTAACCGGCTCTTAAGACCTCGCTGTTACTAGCCGCCAATCTCTTCACTCATTCAGCGGGGAAACTCCGCTGTATTCCTCCGGGCGCCAAAAGGGTTGCCTACTCACTTGGCCATAATATTGCTACCACTGCACCCTTCGTTTGCGATTTAACCGGAAACGGTGGCACCTAGAGTGCTTCAATTAGGGGGGCTTATTTGCTAATTAAGACGTCCCGCTTCATCCAATGGTATCCACAATCACTTTAACCTCTCGGTGTAAATGTTAGATGCAATTAAAGGGTGCCAACCCCTATTATTTACATGGTGAGGATATGTACAACGGACCAAACCTTCCTTTTATCCAATATATTGGTTTAATTAATCGGTATACCAAATTGTGTTCCTGTAACGCAAGTACTTTGCTTAATATCCCACGCAATAAGCTTGTCGCCTTCAGTCTTTAAAGGCTGCTGCTACAGCCCTTTTTATTTGAGATGGACCATGTGTGTCCTATATCAATCTTCCTCTTTTCAGGTCACGAATCACGTGCCCAAGTTTGTACAATTTTTTCCTAAATACGTTGTAGTAAGGGCGGCTGTTTACAATATCTTTATAACAGCACAAATTTGTTTCGTTATTCAAATAAACGCTATTCTTGCAAATAAACAAACACTGTAGATTTACAAAATATAACTTAGTAAATCAACAAAATTGGGTAATTATACAAGAATTTGTCAGTTCCAGTTACAAAAATTTTTGCAGTGTACAAATATTTTCGCGAAAATTGATGTCCCTACACATCATTCTTCCACAAACTATAGCTCCTGAAAATTTTTTTTCAAACAATCTTTAATAATTTCATCAAATATAACTATTCTCATTTAGATAAGCACTATTGAGCCACCATGCAGGCAATAGTTTCGCACTATTTCTCAGTTATCATATGGCGTTGTGTGAAGTGAAGTGTTGTTTGGTCAATAAGGGAACACAAATGCACACTAATTAAACATTTTTATCTCAACTCCCCAAGGAGAATAAATTTTTAGCCCCTTTCTACTGAACATTAAAGTGTTATTGTATAATAAGTATAATGATAAGTTTGTATACTTTTGAAATGGAATATTAATAAAAACCAATTTTCGATGACGAAAATAGTGTTTCTGCAACTAATTTGAAGCGAAGTAAATAAAGTAATTGATTAAAATGGATATGAACACACAAATTAAATTAATACTGCTGTACACAAACGACTACAAGTAAGCAGAAAATGAAATGAGATATACCAGTTTTCTTTCAGCGATCACAAATATCGCTAGGAATATTTCGCAACAAATTTTGATGTTAATCCACTCCGTCACAGGTCCCGTTTAAGTCTGAATGTTTTTATGATCTAAAACAGCTAGCTATGAATGTGGCCAATAAATGTTAGTGTGTTAGGTAAACCAGAAGTAAGAAAGGAACGTCAGTAATACGATACGTAGTCTTCCAGTTGCGGGTAAGGTCATGCGCCAATTTAAAAATATGATTACTTGATCTGCCGTTAGCCTTCGATATCCTCCTTAAACATAGTCGGTTCGGCGGGGTTATACTGCATATCACCAAATAATTAGCATGTGCAAATGCCGGCATGTTTGTATCAAACATCTATTCTCGAAAGTAAATAAATTTTCTATTGCAATATAAATTTGAATTTTGCACTATTTTTTTGTCAAGAATATAAATTAACATATAAATTAACATATCCTACGACGAAATAATTAATCTGTAAATTAATGCCTTCATTTGCCTCCTGTGAGGAGCGTACTCACGACCGCTGATTTGCCAGGCCAGTGCTCTGCCACTGAGCTAAAGAGGCTTGCGCTCATATTGCTTGCCCAAGTGACACTAATATTATTTATCTAAAAACTAAAGTTAATTACTAATAAAACCATTCGAAATTTTAATACGGTATGTTTTATCTAAAGTTCTTTTCATTGCAGTATGATATAAACTATAAGAGCCATCTTACAAACAAAAGCTCAGAGGCCAGATGCCAAAATTTTTCATGGGTTATATATGTAAATTTTTTTTTTTATTTTAACTTTTGTTTAACGATGTTATGAATTCACAGAATTACATTTTGTGAAGTGACTATTTTACTAAACTTTTATCTGTCTCGGCATTATGTCCCAGCGCGTTTATTTTGATAGTAACAACTTTAATAATTCTTGAGAAAGTCACAGTATGTAACAAATTGTATCCTCTACATGTTAACTATTTCCAGAAATCGTTGGAAAGAGTGGAATTCCATACAAACGGCATTAGATGCGATAAATTAATTTGGTCAACAGAACTCCCTAACAACAAAACTTACCGCGTATATTCACAATACTGCTAACTTGGTTCGTTATCAAATATTGAGCAGATTGTGTTTCTACAAATGTATATTTTTCTGAGTATAATGTCCCAGTTTTGTAAACAGAATTTATGTTACGTGCAGCCATGTCGTTTCTTATAATAACATAGTATAATTGCACGTGACACAGTGGAAGATGAGATGTTGAATTATTATATATTTAGATTTCTCGATAGTCTGCTTCTTTATGATGTCAGGCTTCAGCGCGGGATAGTTAAATATTCGCTTCATCATATTCATTATAGGTCCTGTATAATCTTTTCCAACATCTTCCTAACATTTGTACCTAGTAACTGAGTATATTTTAATTTAGCATTTCAAAATTACTTCCTGTAAATGCAAGTGTATATGTTACCAAACACGATTACTGCCAACTTCCAATATGGTTGGCAGCAGTATAAATAATGAAATATTTTTGAAGTTTTACAAACTATTATTTAGGAACTATTTGACAAAAAATATTTGTAACACTGCAGCTAACAGAGCAAATATTGCAACACTTTACTTCGGAAGGTGTAAAACCAAAACTGAAATTAAACAAGGAAGTATTGTAGACGTTGAGATTATTTATGCATATAGATACAAAACCTATTTATACAATTCGTAAAACAAGGTCCTGTTACAATTTTTTTAAGTACTTGGTCTTAGCAAAGTTCTTTAAGGGAGGGACGTCTTAATTAAATTAAATAGCTAATATTTATTTCCTAATTTATTTATAAACAATCCAAAAAGTACAGTGTAATTAATGTATAGACAATAATGACTCTCATTTGTTATTTGCAACATAATGATCTGTCACCTAACAGAAATTGACACAGTCAGACACTTAAAACCAGTCTTTGTTAAGAGTTTTCTAACACCTACTAAATTACAATTAAAATTAAAGCTTTTATATCTGGCAGTTAAAACATTCACAAACAAGTCTGTATCCCTCGTCCGTTCAGTAATTCGTTGTTTTAACACAGGTTTACTTATATTTCCAGTGTGTAACGTTGTTGAGCTCGGGGCGAAAGCTCCTGCACGCATCTGCACTCTACTCGTCAGGAAACTCGCCCTCCACAGTACTCCCGCACTCTAGCCCTTCGTCCTTGCACGTGCACTCGTCCGCCCTCATCTTCGCAGCTAACACCTTACTTTATAACGCCCTCAATCCAATAAAAGATTTATTTTTGTCCTGCGTGACTGTCGCACAGATTTTCGCAGTGCCCTCTCCGTTTTGCGCTTCATTGCTTTGTCCTTCCGTCTAGACGCTGTGTACATGGCTTCAATTGCGGCCATGGCACCAGATAACCCTGCTATAGCCGCGATGCATATGCCCCTTTATGCGCAATAATCCCGACCTAAGGCCTACAGGGGTTGACCTGACGCGCATCCCATTCTTCAACTGTCTTAGCTACTAACATACACTCTACATATGAAACAATGAGGATAGAGACAAATCAGTGAAAACAGAGCGGCTGAAAATCAGTGTCTGATAACTAATTAATATGAAGGCCTGAATTTCACTGATTTATTTGTGATTCCCACTGAAGTTGAGAATTCCAACATGGGCGGATCAAGTAGTGAGTCTTGGGGGTGAAATTATTAGTGAATGTTAAAATCTGCAACATTTTGGCATCTTTATGTTTTTACCCAATTTCACAATTTAAATAATACACAAATTATACAACGACTATCTTCAAATGCATGATTCAATGTGATTAATTTTTAGCACGAAATTCCTTTGCTGTTCTGTATTAAGATACAAAATGAATATATGATATAGGCGAGATAGTAAAATATATTCTTAGCAATGATACTATATATGAACTTGTGGAGCCAGCTGAATCATAATCTATTGGGTAACATTAGGTGAAAAATGCTAAATGACAAGATAAGGGTTTACTGGAGGTATATCATAATGTAGTACATGAAGAAGGGACAGACCCTCAAATCCTCTCCCCATCATCGTAGTTCGGAGCTATAATTTGATGCGACGTAATGTCGAGTATGTCCTCTCTGAACTGGCAGTACAGACAAGAAGTGCGTTACCCATCATGCTGCACTAACCCTGGTTTCACGTCCAATAAATTAAACAAAAAACTCTGTATCTACATATGATCACCGCAGCTTGTTTGCGTTTATCACACGTGAACTGCCTCGTCTCTTGCCACTTACTTCTTAAATAAACCAGTCAGTTTGGCCAGACTTGGTGATAAAAAAATTCTCTTGAAAAAAATAGGGGCCGCGGTGGATGAGCGATTATCATTCCCGCCTCCCACCAAGGCGAAACGGGTTCAATCCCAGGCCGGGTCACCGGATTTTCGCAAGTGGGAAGCGTGCCGGACTATCTCCCGTGCCCCCCCCCCCCTCCCCTTCCGGTCGCTCATTACGGCGTTGCTCCATACTCACCTTAATCTCCCTCATTGGCTCTGAAGACTGCGCTGTTAGGAGCCGCCCAAATCTCTTCTCTCACTCTTTAAAAAAAGCCTTGATTTCTAATATGGTAAAAGGGTTTTTCTAGATCTTCCTTAATGGTTCTACTATGTTTTACATGAATAAATTGCGTACAATTTCTGGAGAAAGGTTGGGCTCTTGTGAGGTGAAATTTCCCTGTTTTCACCCCCGTTGTACGAGCTCCTGAATCCCACTACCGTAAGTCACGTGTCCCCACTCCCATTCCATGATTTGCCGGTAGGTAGTAGCTTATCAACTAACTTTCAGTGGATGTTATTTTACTGATTGATATCACACATTCGGGCGTAAAGTGTACTCTCTAGGGGCTCACAGAACTGTGAAGGAGCTCACGCTGGCGTAGCGGGATATAAGGGGCTCGCCAGAAAATGAAATGAAACATAACCCGCCAATCATATTCTTCGTTCACCGGTCGACGTATTTTGCCACGCCTACCACAAAACCGGCCAACGCCACAGCTGAACCATCATACGCCACCGAATGGCCTGTGTGTCGTGAGACCGGGAGCCTATACTCCCATAACTCACAGGATGTTTGTAAAGACAAAATGCACCCCGACACGCACTCAAACCATTGGGTGTGGTTTATTGGGCACTGGACCCGTGTTAAGGCTGTTTAAGTTGTTGCCTATTATTAAATTAAGTTACGTGTGGTCGTATTCGGCGGGGGAGTGAGGCTCCCCTCCAGTCTCCCAGCTGGAGTGAATGTTAGTGTCGTGGTGTCTCTCTAATGTGTTGTCCTGTTGTTAGCAAGTATGCTAATTAATCTCGCATGTATTATGTAGGTGAGTACCTAGTCTCTTAGGGCAATCCACGTGGTAGGTTTCATCATTTCAGTGTAGTGAGATAGAAACTTTTTACATATTTTAATTGTTTTTAATATTGATATATTTGCGCTGAGGACGCTTAGTCAATGATTTTATATACTAACTAGGACCCGCCATCGCTTCGCTCAGGTTTTATGGAGTTTTTAAAATACATACCTATTCATAGTTAGAAAATTTTTTATTTTACTATCGGAAATAGTTTTATCATCACGTTTGTGTTGGTTTTTTTTGTGAGATGTATATTTACTATCCGTGACTACTTGTGACTACCCGTGATTACCTGCGACTACCTGCGACTACATGCGACTACCTGCGACTGCCCGTGACTACTTGCGAAAAACCTGCGAATACTTGTGACTACCAGCGATTATCTGCGACTACCTGCAACTACTTGAGACTACCTGCGACTACCTTCGACTACACGCGACTACATGCGACTAGCAGTGACTAACTGCGACTATCCGCGACTACCTGCGACTACCTGTGTCCACTTGCAACTACTTGCGACTACCCATAACTACCTGTGACTACCCGCGATTTCCTGCGACTACCTGTGACTACCTGCGACTACCCGCGACTACTTACGACTACCTGCGACTACATGTGACTACCTGCGACTACCTGCGACTACCCGTGACTACCAGCGAAAAACTTGCGACTACCTGCGACTACCCATGTCTACCTGCGAAAAACCTGCGACTACTTGTTACTACCCGCGATTACATGCGACTACCTGCAACTACTTGCGACTACCTGCGACTACTTGCGAGTACCTGCGACTACCGTTGACTACTTGTGATAACCTGTGACCACTTGTGACTTCTTGTGGTTACCCGTGACTACCTGCTATTACCTGCGACTACCTGCGATTGCTTGCTACTACCTGTGTCTACTTGCGACTACCCATGATTACCTGCATATATCCATGATTACCTGCATATACCCGTGACTAACTGCTACTACCCATGACTACTTGCGACTACCTCTAAATACCTGTGACTACCCATGACTATCTGCGACAACCTAAGACGACCCTTGACTTACTGCGGCTTTTTGCCACTACCTACGACTACCCGTGACTATCTGCGCCTACATGCGACTACTCGCGACTAGCCGTGAATAACTGCTACTATCCGCTACTACCTGCGACTACCTGTGTGCACTTGCAACTACTTGCGAC